CTTCTCTTCAATCTGAAAATTTTCCTCAAACTCCTCTAGGCTTCTGTCACAAACCAACTTGAGATTTGCATTAATGTCAAATTTCAGTCTAATAAGTGTACTGGATTTGTCAAGAGAGAGGTTTAATTTAAAATTTCCACCCTCAATAATCTCCTGCTCAAAGTATTCAAAAAATGAATCTGAGCCCTCAAATTCATATTCATAGGTCTTTTCTTCTAAACCATGAATATTGATGTCAAATTTCGAAATTACCTTGTTCACTTTTTTACAGAAAGGCTGCAAATTTACAGCCTTTTTTCGAGAACTAAAAGTTTTGTCTTAATAAAAAACAGAATGTGAGAGAAATTATGGCGGTTTTCTGACAAATTCCCAAATTATTCCTATTTTAGCCCCCAAATATTACATAGATGATAGTTTTTGATGTTGGAAATACCGATACTGTTGTAGGGTTTTTCGAAGGTGAAACACTGATTAATACCCTTAGAATAAAGTCATTAAAAAGCGAAAGTTCCACTTTTTTTGAGTATAGAATTTTGAATTTTATGCTTGAAAATAATATTGAAAAAACCTTGTTAAAGCAGGCTGTCATTAGCAGTGTAGTGCCAATTCTTACACCTTTTTTTGTTAATTTTTGTGAGAAATTTCTAAACATTACACCAAATGTTGTTCATCCTGCAAAATCACATTTATTGAAAATCAATATAGATATGCCAGAGGAGCTTGGATCTGATTTGTTTGTAAATGCTTTAGCGGCCTATCATTATTTCGAATCTGACTGTATTGTGGTTGATTTTGGCACTGCTTTGACCTTCACAACAGTAACAAAAGATAAAGTGATTGAAGGTGTAACTATTTTGCCAGGTATAAAAACAGCCATCAAAGCTCTTTTTTCTCAAACTTCGCTACTTCCTGAAGTGAAACTTGAGAAACCAGATTCTATTATTGGCAAAAATTCTATGCATTCTATACAAGCAGGTATTCTTTTTGGCTACGAAAGTATGGTAGAAGGAATTGTTGAAAAAATCAAAATGGAATTGAATCGCCCTTGCCAGGTAATGGGTACTGGAGGATTATCTAGTGTCCTTTCTGATATTGATTTTGTGTTTGATAAAATAGATAGAGACTTGACTTTGAAAGGATTGTACCTATATGGAAAACATCAAATATAGAATTTTTTGATGTTGATATAAGCTTCTACTGGATCTGTAACCAAATATTTTATGTCTTTTTGTTCCTGCAGTCTTTTTCGGATATAGGTGGCCGAAATGTCGAGTAGGGGAGCTTCTACGAATTTAACCTTTTCATGATTTTTAAATGAATGAGGTGGAAGACGAAGATGGAAAAATGATATACATTGACCCTCATACTGAAGAAAATATTAAAACAGATGGTTTAGACCCTCGATGGGCTGCCCTTTTAAAGATTAAAAATTTAGATTAAAAAAGTATATATAATTTTAGACAGATATGGCACATCCTAAACGGAAGATTTCGAAAACAAGAAGAGACAAACGTAGAACGCACGATGCATTATCGACAAAACAATTGTCAGTAGATGTAACAACAGGTGAGGTTCACTTGCGTCACCATGCTCACGTAAGCGAAGGAAATCTCTACTATCGTGGAAAATTAGTTGTTGAGAATTACAATTAATTTTTACTTTAAGTATTCATTTCCAACAAAATAATTTTTAGCCGATGAAAAAAATTGCAGTTGATGCAATGGGTGGCGATTTTGCACCTAAGGCAGTAATTGAAGGTGCTATTATGGCAGCTTCAGCATTACCCGAAGACTATCAAATTGTTTTAATCGGAAAACAAGATTTAATGCTTGAGGCTCTTCATGGCCTCGAGTACAAAAAAGGTGCTATCGAGATGGTTTTCACTCCCGATGTCATCGAAATGCATGAGCATCCTACAAGAGCTTTTAGTCAAAAACCCAATTCTTCAATCGGAGTTGGGTTTAAGCTTTTAAAAGAAGGACAAGTCTCTGCTTTTTGTAGTGCCGGCAATACAGGTGCTATGATGGTAGGATCATTGTTTACACTTCGTACTGTAGGCAATCTTCAAAGACCCCCAATTGCTGGGTATTTCCCTCTAAAAAATGGGGCTTTTAGCCTAATGCTAGACATTGGTGCAAATGCAGACTGCAAACCAGAAGTTTTGATGCAATTTGCAGAGCTTGGTAGTTTATATGCCAAATTTGCCCTTAATATCGAAAATCCAAAAGTTGGATTAGTAAATATTGGAGAAGAGGAAGAAAAAGGAAATACTGTAGCTCAAGCTACTTATCAGCTTCTAAAAAACAATAAGAAAGTAAATTTTGTAGGAAACATAGAAGGTCGCGATCTTTTCGATGGAAAAGCCGATGTTTATGTTACTGACGGATTTACTGGTAATATTATGTTTAAAATGGGTGAATCACTCTATGAATACGCTGCATCACAAGGTATTGACGATCAACTTATAAACCGCATGAATTACGAAGTAGCGGGCGGTAGTCCAATTATCGGAGTAAATGGAAACGTAATAGTTGGCCATGGAATCTCCTCACCACTTGCTATCAAAAACATGATTTTATTGGCTCAAAGGCAAATAGAATCAAAAGTTGTTGACCGTATAAGAGAAGTATTTTAATTGTTGTATAACAAAGAATTGTACCTATGAATTTAAAAGCCGCCATTACCGGAATACATGGATATGTACCCGAGGATGTCATGACAAACGCCGATTTGGAAAAAATCGTTGAAACAAATGACGAATGGATAACCTCTCGAACAGGAATAAAAGAGCGAAGAATATTAAAAGGTGAAGGTTTGGGAACTTCTTTTATGGCTGCTGAAGCGGTAAGAGGCTTACTAAAAAAAACTAATACTGACCCCAAAGATGTAGACTTGGTAATTTGTGCAACAGTTACGCCAGACTACATGTTTCCATCAACTGCAAATCTAATATGTACCCAGGTAGGTATACCACAGATATGTAGTTTTGATATCTTAGCTGCTTGTTCAGGTTTTTTATATGCCCTCGTTACAGGCTCTCAATTTATTGAGTCAGGTAGATATAAAAAAGTAGTGGTGGTTGGTGCTGATAAAATGTCTTCTAT